TTATCGTTCAAACGTAGATCAGTAAGAAATCTTAGGTAACCTATTTCTTCAGGAATAAAGCCAAATAGGTGATTACCATCAAGACGCAGAATAGTCAAGTTGTTCAAATTCCCCAATGAAGCAGGAATAGAACCATTAAGAAAGTTATCGTTCAAACGTAGATCAGTAAGAAATCTTAGGTAACCTATTTCTTCAGGAATAAAGCCAAATAGGTGATTACCATCAAGACGCAGAATAGTCAAGTTGTTCAAATTCCCCAATGAAGCAGGAATAGAACCATTAAGAAAGTTATCGTTCAAACGTAGATCAGTAAGAAATCTTAGGTAACCTATTTCTTCAGGAATAAAGCCAAATAGGTGATTACCATCAAGACGCAGAATAGTCAAGTTGTTCAAATTCCCCAATGAAGCAGGAATAGAACCATTAAGGGAGTTATTGTACAACCGCAGATCAGTAAGAGACCTTAGGTAACCTATTTCTTCAGGAATAAAGCCAAATAGGTGATTACCATCAAGACGCAGAATAGTCAAGTTGTTCAAATTCCCCAATGAAGCAGGAATAGAACCATTAAGGGAGTTATTGTACAACCGCAGATCAGTAAGAGACCTTAGGTAACCTATTTCTTCAGGAATAAAGCCAAATAGGTGATTACCATCAAGACGCAGAATAGTCAAGTTGTTCAAATTCCCCAATGAAGCAGGAATAGAACCATTAAGGGAGTTATTGTACAACCGCAGATCAGTAAGAGACCTTAGGTGACCTATTTCTGCAGGAATAAGGCCAGAAAGGTGATTATCAAAAAGATACAAAATGGACAAGCTGGTCAAATTTCCCAATGAAGTTGGAATAGAACCATCAAGAGTGTTAGAACTCAAATCTATCTCAGTAAGAGACCTTAGGTAACCTATTTCCTCAGGAATAAAGCCAAATAGGTGATTACCATCAAGACGCAGAATAGTCAAGTTGTTCAAATTCCCCAATGAAGCAGGAATAGAACCATCAAGAGAGTTATCGTACAACTGCAGATCAGTAAGAGACCTTAGGTAACCTATTTCTGCAGGAATAGGGCCAGAAAGTTGATTATCATAAAGATACAAAATGGACAAGTTGGTCAAAATTTCCCAAATGAAGCAGGAATAGAACCATTAAGGGAGTTATTGTACAACCGCAGATCAGTAAGAGACCTTAGGTAACCTATTTCTGCAGGAATAAGGCCAGAAAGGTGATTATCAAAAAGATACAAAATGGACAAGCTGGTCAAATTTCCCAATGAAGTTGGAATAGAACCATCAAGAGTGTTAGAACTCAAATCTATCTCAGTAAGAGACCTTAGGTAACCTATTTCTGCAGGAATAGGGCCAGAAAGTTGATTATCATAAAGATACAAAATGGACAAGTTGGTCAAATTCCCAAATGAAGCAGGAATAGAACCATCAAGAGAGTTATCGTACAACTGCAGATCAGTAAGAGACCTTAGGTAACCTATTTCTTCAGGGATAGAACCAGAAAGGTGATTATCAATGAAGATGCAGAATAGTCAAGTTGTTCAAATTCCCCAATGAAGCAGGAATAGAACCATTAAGAGTGTTAAAATTCAAATCTAGCTCAGTAAGAGACTTTAGATGACCTATTTCTTCAGGAATGAAACCATTTAAATGGTTGTCAAACATATGGAGGATCTGAAGCTTGGCTAATGAGCTGATTTGCGGTGGTACTATGCCTGAAATCTGATTACTTGACAAATCAAGATAAATAAGATTAGTGAGTTTACCAATGTCAGGTGGAATGGTGCCAGAGAAATAGTTCATGCTAAGATCAAGATACTCAAGAAAAGGGAGAGAAGAAGATGGAAAATCATCGAGTGTACCAATGACACTAGTATTTGTAATATTCAACATGTTTACTCTACCGTTAAAGCATATAACTCCATACCAATCCCTGCATGAGTTAGAACTTGGTGTCCATGAAGCGAATAAGGAGTTGTTCTGGTTCTTGAAAGTTGCTTTCCATTTCAGTAGGGAAGTTGCTTCCTCGACGGAAGCAAAAGTAACTGTAAGGAGATATAAAAGAGTGAAAAACTGAAGTAAAGAGAATATTTTGGTCATCATGTTTTGGATTTCAATGAACTAATTGTGGAGGGTTCATAGGATTTTATATTGTACCTAACTTATCGTTAAAGACCAAATTTCGGCTGCTCTCTCTCTCTTTATGTTCATATTTTATCAGAGAAAATATTGTCATGCATTCTCAAGTCAATGCAAAAGTCAAATTTGAGTTGTTCCATTTTTTTCTTCTTCTTTTATACATGTGTTACACATCTACACAAAATAAATTCCCTCAGAAGAAAAAAATTAAAAGCTTAATGGAGTAGATAATCATCTTTTTATTTTTTCTCTTAAAATATAATGGTATGATTTTTATATATTTATGTACTATTTGCATGTCCAAATAAAAAAGGGAAAATGCATAAGTACCCCCCCAGCCTATGCCCGAAATCTCAGAGACACACCTAACCTTTACTAAGGTCCTATTACCCCCGAACTTAATTTATCTATAATATTCTACCCCTTTTCGGCTTACGTGGCACTATCCTTGAAAAATTTGTCAACGTGCACTGGGCCCACAAGATAGTGCCACGTAGGTCAAAAAGGGGTAGAATATTACATATAAAATAACTTCGGGGGGATAATAGGACCTTAGTAAAGGTTAGGTGTGTCTCTGAGATTTCGGGCATAGGCTGGGGGGGTACTTATGCATTTTCCCTTTTTTATTTGGACATGCAAATAGTACATAAATATATAAAAATCATACCATTATATTTTTAAAAAAACATATAGTTGATTATCAATATAGTCGCTGAAAATTATATTAAGTAACAAAAGAAAAAGGGCATGGAATAATATTTTAATTCAGACAGAGACTTAATTAACCAAATAATTTGTTGTGTTATCAGACAAGATCACATGGTTATGAGTATTTATGTTTGGTTCTCATTTTTTATCTCTAATGTAGTAGACATGTTCCATCTTAGATAAATAAATTTCTACACTGCATTAACATTTCTAATGTACTTTTTATTAGACTGAAACGAATTTAAGTAAGGCGATATGACTAGTTATGAAAATTTATATAGCAGATATTGTTAATTTCTCACATGATTACTTAACTATTGATAATAGGGAAAATGCATAAGTACCCCTTCAGCCTATGCCCCAAATCCCTGAGACACACCTAACCTTTACTAAGGTCCTATTACCTCCCCGAACTTATTTTATATATAATTTTCTACCCCATTTTGGCCAACGTGGCACTATCCTTGAAAAAATTGTCAACACGCGCTGGGCCCACAAGATAGTGCCACGTAGGCCGAAAAGGGGTAGAAAATTATATATAAAATAAGTTCGGGGGGTAATAGAACCTTAGTAAAGGTTAGGTGTATCTCATGGATTTTGGGCATAGGCTGGGGGTAATTATGCATTTTCCCTTGATAATATACTATCCATTTTTAACAACCCACCCTAATAATTTGACCCATTCGAGAAAGAGAACCGACCCAATTTTTTAATATCGGAGTCAATATATAAATTTTAAACCAATAAAGAATTATTTTGGTTGTTGAAATAATCATCATATTTTATTTTTTATAGTCTTATTCACACTTTGTCTGATCATATTTTATTAGACAAAATTTGTCGTTGTCATGTCAATTTTTTTGCTTTTTTGTTTTCTCTTTCCTTTTTTTATCCATGTGGTACACATCATTTTTCAAGTAAAAAAGAATAAAGAATTATTTTGGTTGTTGAAATAATCATCATATTTTATTCTTTATAGTCTTATTCACACTTTGTCTGATCATATTTTATTAGACAAAATTTGTCATTGTCATGTTAATTTTTTTGCTTTTTTGTTTTTGTCTTTCTTTTTTATCCATGTGTTACACATCATTTTTCAAGTAAAAAAGACTATCATATAGAAAATAAATTCCCTCAAAAAGAAAACAAGATTAAAAAGAAATGCATAAACTTCTTCATTGAATACATTAATTTGCTTAATCTTCTTCTTTGCTCTGCATAATAATTTTGTGTTCCAATTCTTCAATGATTCTTGCGAGCCATTTCGGATATTCAGTTGAAACCATGAAACCATGAAACATACCACATATAGTCCAATTTCATAGCTTATAATTGAGCAGCTTTTCAAAAAAATATAGAGAAATTCAGTATTGCTTTCTTGAACTTCAAGCACAGATATGCTATATATATAACTTGCCTCTGATAATAGATCACTGCCACAACCTTTCGAAACTGGGAATCCACGCAATTCATCATTACCTTCATATAAAGTTAATAATGGAAGAATAAAAAAGTCTACTTATAAACCAAAACCTGAAGTTTCTGATAATATTGCATCTCTGATGAGCATTCCAACAAATTGTTTATTTTCTTTTTTGGTACAATGGAAAATCTACACATCATATTTCATTGAATACATTAAAACATTACATAACTTGATATATCATAGTATTACATTTCCTAAAGTTAATAAAGGAAGAATAAAAAGCCTACTTATAAACCATAAGCTGCAGTTTCTGATATTAATTATTGTATCTCTGATGAGCATTCCAACAAATTCTTCTCCAACCACCTGCATGTTTGAATTTGTTTATTTACTGTCTGATGTTTATATTTACACAAAGAAAGTCAAGTCTTTATTATATGCTAAAATGAAATTACAATTTGAAAAAAAGTTATTATGTCCGGCGAATTTTGCTCTAAAACTAATTATCTGTTGGTTCACACTTGAAGCACTTGTTAAACCAAGCCTCTAACCAGATAACTGGATCACAGCTTCCAACTAATTTTGGACAGAAAAATAGGGCTTTGTAGAGCATTCAATTAGTTTCTGATATAACTAATATGAAAATTCAGATATAGTTAGCTGCAATAATCTAAAGCTCAAACTAGAACTTAACTGCATATATACCTGAAGTTTTAACTCTTCTACATGCGATTATTTGCTTCTTCTGTTACTCCTTTACCTTTGCTGCGCTTCTTTCTCCTTCCCATCATTATTTTGTGTTCCAGTTCTACAATGATTCTTGCAAGCCATATCGGATTTCCAGTTGAGAACATGAAATATATTATCGATAACCCAATACACAGTCCACTTCCATACCCCATAAGAGCAGCTTTCCAAAAATCATTCAGAAATTCAGAGTCGCTTTCTTCATCATCTATTTCATATGTGGTATCATTTGTCTCCGAATCATTATCATCACTACCACAGCCTTTTGATAGTGGAAATCCACTTAATCCATCATTACCTACATATGAATTGTTCTCAAAGGTCTGAAATTGATTTCCTTGAGGAATGCACCCTTCGAGATGATTGTAGGAGAGATTTAAGACTGCAAGAGAAGTAAGAGAAGCAAATTGTGCTGGTATCTCTCCTACAAAATGGTTACCTGAAAGGTCCAATGATTCAACTGAAGATAATCTTCCAAGTGATGGCGGTATATGACCTTGCAGTCCATTATGAGATAAATTCAGCACACAAAGTGCAATGAGATCTCCCATAAAACTTGGAATATATCCTTCAAATTTGTTGTTTGAAAGATCGATAGTGGTGTACAAAAACAGGATTCTCACAATTTCATGCTCAAATCCCTTGGATACGACAGCTACAGTATCTTGATAATAATATTCATCTCCTTCATCACTTGGTGCATTCATCGCTTGATCAATTGTCCTCATGGCTTTTAAATGTTGAAACAGACTCGTCGGTAAGTTTTCTGTGAAGGCATTGGAAGAGATATCCAACATTCGAAGTTCAATAAACATGTTTTCACTTCCTAAAGTTCTAATCGGTCCATGCAACTTATTCGATCTCAAGCTTAAAACTCTCAACTTAGGAAGAGTTCCCAACCACATTGGGAATGTGTCGTTGAGGTGATTATCTCCTAAATCAAGAACTTGCATCTCTTTGCAATTGACCAAAGATTGGGGAATTTTCCCCTTAAGTTTATTGCCATGCAAGTTGAAGCTTCTAAGTGTTCCAGCCCTAAAAGTTGTTGGAAGAGTTCCAGAAAGATTGTTGTGTTGCATATCCAGAACCTCAAGATGACCACTCATGTTTCCAAAACATTGTGGACACCCAATTTTGACCCTCCACAATATAAATTAATCATTTCGAGCTTCTCCAATTTCAAACAATTTAAAATAATTAGTTTTATAAAATTTCCAAAAAATAATAATATAGTTGCAAGATTTTTAAATAGTTTTGTCACTTTTCATAATTTTTAGATAATATATATGTTTTACATAATTATGTATATAATTAGTATATTTTATGATTATTCGAGAATCGTCTCAAAAAAGATTTTATATTTTTAATATTAGGAATGGCTATAATTTTGAATTAATGAGTTTTATGAAAATTCAAAATACTTTCAAGTTATTTTTTTTAAAAGTAATTTTATCATTTTTTAATAATAAATATGTATATTTTTGCAATCACGTTATTTTATAAATATTCAAAAATCATCATAAAAGATTTTACATCCTAGTTAAATATCTTATTAATTTGGTTTAGTCTAAGTTATAGTTATAATTTCGAGTTAATTAGTTTGTAATTAAATTAATTATTTTACAATCGAATTAATTATTTTATGTCATTGAGACTAAGAAGCTCGTAAATTAATTGTATTGATTCATCGTATTTCAATTCTAGCCGAATTCGGTAAATCAACTCAATTTGGCTATTTTCTTAATTCATTTAGCTATATTGAAGGATTAAAAATTTGGGCCTTCATAAAATATGTTTCAGCAGCCCATTATTCTCCATTTCCAATTCCCCTAGCCCACAAAGACCCATCAGCCCACAATAGAAAAGATCCAACAATTCCATTCAACAATACATCAACAGTAATGCGTACAGCAGTGCCAAACAGGTCCACGCTTCTTCTTCTTCAGCGAAACGATGCAGCAAGCAGAACAAACCCAGAAATCGCGCTGCAAAAATCTCATCCAACTACCCTGCAGAACCCATACCCTAGCAACCTAATCCAACCACCCTCACGTCCCTTTTCCTCCTTTTCTGGGATTTTCTAAATCCCTTCCCTGTTGCCCTGGGTAAGGAGGAAGAAAATTCAAAATTTTGAATTTCATCCTTACCCATCTTTTCAATTCGATTTTCCCCCCTTCCTTAATTCGAATCTCCCCTATATATACCCCTATTATGTTCACTGTAAGGGCAGAGAGGGAGGAGACCGAAAAAGAGAACATATTTTTTAGGATCACCTAATTTCACCTCGAAAAACATAAATATTTTGGATATTAAGAACGACTCAAATAACTTCATTGGAATCGAGGCTTTTGGTTTCGGGAACTCGGAGGATTCTCCAACGAAACTTTGTTGTGGTGGTGGAAGCTCGTCGTTATTCGAAGCTCGTCATTCCCAGTTCTCTGCCTCTCAAAAGGTAATATCTAATTTCAACCCATGTCTCCTTATCCTTAGATGTGTTGATTACTTGATTCTCGACTGAGTAAGTGTTCAAATGTTATGATTTGGGGCACATTATGGCTGAACGTTGGCTGTAAATCGGCAATATAGGTGGTCTGACCACTCGCTTAGTTTAGTCATTTTGATTTCGGTTCTTCTTTCTTTTTGTTGTTTGAAATTTGATGACCCCTTTTAGCTGAGATTATTTACTTCATGTTAGTTTCTTCTCATTAAATTGAGTGATCTCACCTGGTTGCCATGACTTAGCTCAATTGTGAACTTTTCGAGTCCGAAATGCTAGTTTTTGCAATCTGATGTGTGGGCTTATTTCCATTTATGTTAGCTAGTATAAATAGTGTGAGCTGAGTAGTTTACTGCCTTTTCTTATGGTGTGTGCTCTATCTATGTTCAACTAAGTAGCATATATAGTCCTTATATTAGTTGCTTGTACCTCTTAAATCTCATTCGTAATAGTATTAGTTGTGTAGTCTTCGTCACTTTTTTATGTTGAGTTAAGTTATTTCGAGTCTGGCTTAGTTTGACCAAGTTAAGATTGAGTCGATAAATTGATTATTTCAGGCCTCTCGAGTGTTCATTTCGTGTCCGTTTACTGCTCCATCTTTCTGTTATTTTCACCATGAATCATGCTAAGATTGAAATTTCAATATTTTGGGTCACGACTTGTAATTTTTGGGCTGTCTTTTCTTTTTTTTCTTTTTTTTTTTTTTTTTTTTTTTTTTTTTTTACCTCATGAGGTTTTTTGTTATCTCACTACCTAATATGATATGTTTGAATCAAGTATTGACCTTTATTTTATCTAAAAAATAAAAAATAAAAAACAAAATTTTTACCAAGAGTTGTTCGCCATTTACAGTGGAGTTTGTATAAATTTGGAGATGTTGTTTCCTTCTAACTTTTGGTTTACTTCTAGTTCTTGTCTCTTCCCAAATTGTTAGCATTATTTGCTAACTTATTTATTCCATGAAATATATTCGTTTTACTATAAGAGGCATGTTGCTAATCCCCTTTTTATTGTAAAAAGCATAATATTCAATCATTTGCAGTTTACTGTGCAAA